TTAAACAATATACGAGCACAATCACAACTAATAGAAGCTAAACAGATTATAACGGGAGGGGAACATGCTGATGGGAGTACAAGATAAGGAATCACAGCAATAGAGAAATTTAAAAAGCTAGTACACCTTGAACCAGTAACAACAAGTAAATACAGTAACAGAAAATGCACGGCATCACCCTTCATGCTTTTACTCTCAACCTCACCAGATAATCAATAGAAAATGGCACGGCATCACCCTTCATGCTTTTACTCTCAATCTCACCATATAAATCAAATAAGAATGGCACTGCATCACCCTTCGTGCTTTTACTCTCAGTCTCACCATATAAATCAAATAAGAATGGAACGGCATCACCCTTCGTGCATTAACATTCTCCCTCACCAAAACAAGGAACAATAATAATAGGGAGATAGAAATGACAACAACAAGTCTTACTTCAACATTTGCTTCCACAATATCAACCTCGACATTGAGCCAATACTCCATCAATACCAAAATCCGTACATATGATAAGAACGATCAACATAACAATAAACTAGTCTAAACATCGATAAAATGATCACGGAAAGCTACAATTTTATGAATAAGACTCACTAGCATGTTATGACTCAAAAACAACGCATAGGTACTCGTCACCTCACCTATACGTTGTACTCAAAATTCAAACACGCAAAAAATAGGCAAGTAAGACCTAATCCCTCAAGCCAAGGTTAACCACGACACTTACCTCGCTCCGCGGGCCACTCAATGCTCAATTACCGATTTTCCTCTAGTATCCACCTCCGAACCACTCGTATCTAGCCACAATTAACTCAATAACATAAATTATTGCTAAAGGAATCAACTACAATGCATGAATTTGGATTTCTCAAACTTTTCTCCAAAAAGTCAAAAACCGACCCCAGGCCCGCTTGGTCAAAACCCGAGGTTCGGACCAAAATCCATTTACCCATTCACCCCCGAGCCCGGATATACAGTTGGTTTTGGAATCCGACCTCAGATCGACATCTAAATCCCTAATTTGCAAAAATTCCCAATTCTTCCTAAATCCCTTATTTCTACCATGAAAGAACAAAGATTAGGGCTAGGAATTCAATGGGTGATGTTAGAAATGGAAAAAAATGAGTTAAAGCGTACAAAACTATGATTTGGTGTTGAATCCCCTCTTCAAAATCGCACCTAGGTCGATTCTAATAAAAGAGTTGTAAAATTTTGAGAAAATCCCGATTTTGGTCTGTTTTAAATCAATGGCGTCAGACCTTCTTCGCGTTTGCGAAGGGTCTGCCGCGATTGTGAAAGGCAACAGCCCAAAGGCCTACGCGTTTGCGAAAGGTTGTCCTCGTTCGCGATCACTTGTCCCCCATTGGCCATCGCGTTCGCGAGCCTTGGCTCGCGTTCGCGAGCCTTGGCTCACGTTCGCATAGAACAACCTACAGATCCCAGCCCACCTCCTTTTTTTGTACGTGTTCGCGTGTGGCTAGTCGCGTTTGCGAAGAGCAGACCCCCCGAGTGCTCCGCGTTCGCGACCATGGCCTTGCATTCGCAATGAGAAATTCCACCCCCAGCCCAGCTTACACTTCGCGTTTGCGGGAGTAGCTTCGCAAACGCGAAGAAGGAAACCAGAACACTGACTGCAGCAAAAAATCAGATTTTTCCCAAGTTCTAAACATCCCGAAGCCTATCCAAAACCCACCGGAGCCCTCGGGGATCCATACCAAACATGCACACAAGTCCTAAAACATCATACGAACTTGATCGCGCGATCAAATTGCCAAATAACACCTATAACTATGAATTTAGCACCAAATTGAATGAAATTTTCAAGAAAGTTTTAAAACCTCTATTTTCACAACCGGACGTCCGAATCACATCAAACCAACTCCGTTCCTCACCAAATTTTACAGACAAGTTTTAGTATCATAATGAACATGTACCGGGTTCCGGAACCAAAATACGCACCCGATACCAGATGATCAAACATTAACCAAATGCTTAAAACCATTAGATTTTCAGTCTTTTAATTTTCATCAAAAATTTATTTCTCGAGCTAGGGACCTCGAAATTTGATTCTGGACATACGCCCAGGTCCCATATTTTGATACTGACCCACCGGGACTGTCAAAACACGAGTCCGGGTCCGTTTGCTAAGAACATTAACCGAAGTCAACTAAATAAACTTTTAAAGGCAAGAATTATTATTTTCATCAACTTTCAAAGGCCTCGAAACACATAATTGAGTTCTAAAACATAAGATGACCTTTTGGGCCATCACAAGGTGATTCTTGAATTTTGAGGAAATACCAAGATTCAACAATTGTCAGAATGAAATGCCATACAACAAGTGAGTGTAAGGGATTTGGGTCATTTAGTGGTTTTTGTGGCCGAGGTTCGGCCAGAAGGCCAAACAACTCTTTGTTAGCCCGAAGAAGCTAATCAGAATGAAGCATGGTAGTGGCAAAAGTAGACACCTTCAGCAAGAATGTCACAAACTAACCACCACATTTTCAAACTGACAAGATTTTCTCTGTTTGAAACATGGGCAAGAAATTTTAGTTGCTCTACAGAAATCCTCTGTTAGGAAAGCATGTTCTAGATAAGTTCAGTTTTAAATTTTGAGGACCCTCCTGTATAATGGGATTTAGTTTTAGATTCTCAGGACCCTCCTGGATAATGGGATTCAATTAACACTCACAAATGTTTCTGCTACAAACTGGGGCAGAAAATTTTCTTTGTTTTGTCTGTTTTGTTGTGTTTGCAGGTGCCCACCGGGAGAACGAGGGAATTCATTTCAAGTTTTATGTCATTAGCAGGCGCCTACCTGGAGAATGAGGGAATTCATTTCAAGTTTGAAGTTAGTAGCAGGCGCCGACCTGGAGAACGAGGGAATTCATTTCATGTTTTAAGTCAGTAGCAGGCGCCCACCTGGAGAATGAGGGAATTCATTTAAATTTTCAAGTTAGTAGCAGGCACCCACCTGGAGAACGAGAGAATTCATTTCAGAGTTCAGTTCAATTCAACAGCAGGAACCCGCCTGAAGAATAAGGTCAATTCAAGTTAGAAGTAGTAGAAGCGCCTCAAGAATGTGAATCGACAATTCGAAATGCACAACAGGACTGTAGAAGGTTCAAGATCAAGCTTCGGAAGATTTTTAGATAGGAATCTTGTAATTCATAGTTGATAGGCTTGCTTAGTTTCTTTTCATTTTGATTTTGATGTAATAAGGAGTTCAGCAAGCAGTATCAGCAGCAACAGCAGTAAATCCCAGCTTCTCGGTAGTCCCAACTACCAAACTTTCCAAAACTACACTGACCTGATTCCTTTATAGCCAGGATATGTAGGCAACCTCCGAAGCAAGGTTCGGTCAAACTTTTTCAAAATGTTTCCTAGGGAGTATCCAAACGGGCAAAAATTGCTCGTAGTTGCTCACTTATCTTTGCCCGAAATCTGTTGGTGTTTTCGAGCAAAGAGGGGCAACTGTGAGCACGTGATTTTTTCCCGACTAAAAATACTCCTACAAAAATCAAAAAAAATTGATATTTCTAACTATTTTAATTTTATGGAATTTTTAGGAATTCCTTGCCAATTGTTGTTTGCATTTAGTTACATATTTAATATATTTGAATCATAAGAAAATACCACAAAAATGTCAAAAATTTTATGCATTGCATTTTAGGTTTTTATTTGCATTTTTAGAATTTAAGTTATTTATTAATTTCATTATTAAATAAAAATCACAAAACTTATGATCATTTTTACATTTTTAGCTTTTAGTGTTAAATTAGAAATTTCCTTTCACTAGTGTTGAGTTAATTAATTATTTAAATGGTAGAAATGGATAATTAAGTTTAATTATACAAATTAGATTGATTTTGGACTTAATTTAGGTTTTTAATTAATTTTATTAGGATTTAAAATCAAGAAAAAAGAAAGAAAGAAAAAAAGTTTTGTTTTGTTCCGAATTTGGGCCAAAGCAATTTCTAAGCCATAAATCCCCTCAAAACCCAATTAGCCCTAACCCAGTCTTTCCCCCAACCGGTCCAAATCCCTCACCAAACCAAAACGACCCCGTTTCAACTAAACCTAATCTCCACCATCTATCAAGATCACATACAACGTCTCCCAACTCGTCACCCTTCCCCCTTATAATGGTCGGAAGACCCCCCCCCCCAAACCTTAGAGACCGACTCCCATTTTCCCCTTCTCATCTCTCAGCTCTCATCTCTCATTCCTTGTGAAAGCCGCTACCGAAAATCTCCCTACGGCGGTGGCACTACTCCAAACCACCCCAAATTAACATCCCATGATCCTCACACCCCCTAATCCTTTATCCCTTACCAATTTTCCCAAAGAACCACCCAAAATCCTCGAATTTTAAATCCAAAAGTGGCCAGAAAACCTAGCTTCGTTCTTTTTGATTTTCTTCGTCAATGTTCGATCATTGTGACTTAAAACTGACATTGATCAATTGCTCTTGATTAATGTAAGTTTTGGTCCACTTCGAAGTCACGGATTCCGGCCGACCAGTTAGAGCTTCGAGTTCCTTAACCTTCAGGGTAATCCTTTTCTCTCTTTTAAATTTGAATTAGTTGTTCTTTTCATATTGCATGATTAGTTTGTCCGATTATGTTCAATCGTTTTAAGTTTAGCCCATTAATTGTTTGAATAGCTAGTTTTTATGTTGTCAAAAAAGGGGGTGTAAAGGGTAATAACAGAAGTTTAAGGTGGCTAAAAGGCTTTGCAAATTAGAGAATCTGAGTTAGTTAGGTGAGAAACTTCTAGAAAGGGTCAAAAGGCAATAATACCAATAAAATTAGGTCAGATTTGGGTAAAAAGGGGTAAAATAAAGAAGCTAAAGGGCTAAAAAAACTTGGAGGAATATCTGGATAGACAGTTGTTCAACAGCTGTCCAATTCAGTTTTAAAAAGATGCTTTTTTTCCCTGAAATTTAGGGAAGGCATATTATTCCCTTATCCTTTGTGCACATGATAGATTTTTCTATATATAAAAAACTTCTATCTTCATACACTGGACTGGACACACACGGATTTCACACCAAAAACCCTCTGAAATTCAGACTCTTTTCCTTCATTTGAAGACTGATTTTGAGATGGATTTTTACACATGAACCTTCTGAAAAATTAGGAACTTCATTCTCATTTGACAATGATTTTGCATTAGAGTTTCATTGGTTTTGGGTCTATTGCTGACTTCTGGGTTGAAGATTGAAGTTATTATGTGTTGTTTTCTACTGTAATTTGCTGTTATTGTTTAGCTGAGTTCTTTTCTTTGGATTCCAGACCTTTATTTGGTCATTTCCTTCTGTTTCCTTACTGATAGGTATGTAACATTCTATCTGAAATCTCTATTAAATATAAAATTGAAGTTGTGATTTGTTCTTGCTGTATTTATGTCCAAATTTCGTGTATTGAGGGTCTTGGCCTATAGATTTTTCCATATTTGCTTTCTCTCTTGATGTCTAAACAAATTCATTTTGCTCAATGTTGAAAGTTAAGCTGAAATTGTCCATTAACTGTGTTTAATTTAGCTCGAACAATGATTCGTATGTTTGATGCATGTTGAGAGTTTAAATTATAAGAAATGACTCAAGGTCTAGGGATAGTAGCTTTTTCTCATATGTTAGATGTTCTGATTTGCATGAGTAAGTGTAAGTGTAGTTTGGTCTCGTTTAATTTCTCTATTTGTTGGTAGTATCATTAACTTGCAATCTCAGAATCCAATGGCAAGGCTTTGGAATCGCAAGGAGCTGGCAGTAAACACTATGGCAGGAATTGATATGGCAAAAGTCTAATTTTAGAGTCTGTTAGTAGAAGCCTATAGGTGATGACAGTATTTTAATCTATATCACTAGTTGTTAATTTTCATAAATGTCTATAATTGTTAGAATCACTTATTGTAATCTCTGTATGTAACATGTTCACAATTCATGCTTTTTAGACATCTTTTCGATAGCCCTATTCTTTCTTCTGAAGTTTAAAGATGAAGCTTCAAATTGTTTGTGTTTTATTGTTGGGTGATCGTGTGCAAGTTCCTACCATTCTTCTGAAATGCAGTAAGCGTATCTGTCATTGTAGATTTAGAATAATTATCCCCAATTCAATAGTTTAAGGCTGTAGTTCGTGAATTCAAACAACCACATGTATTTGATAGAACCTTAGCAATTCATATCTCAAATGGTTATATATCTTTATAAGGCCTAAGTGTAGTTGACTTTATGATCAATGCTATTTCCAAGATGAAAATGCCAAGGTTTCCAAAATGGCCGTATCTTTCTTTTAGCAAGAAGTTCATCCAAAAGTTGGCTTAAAATAATTTTCAAATCATATTCTCCCCAATATTGCATTCCATAATTGATGACCTCACAACAATCTCAAATTATATTAGGGAATAAGTTACAAACATCGTAGTTTGCTTTAGGCGCGTAATTAAATCATCAAAATTACGGGTACGGTTCCTGTGACGTAGTTGTGATACGTAATTCCCAAAATTCGGGTGCACATTTCATGTGACTCAATTATAACATCAAATAATAATTAAAATAAACATGTTGTAAATCGCGGGCGCGTTTCACGTGGCGTGATCCGCAATATGTACAAAAACAAATGAGTGCGCGACATCGCTACTCGTTCAAACAAATCCCATAAACACTAAAAGCGATTAAAATTCTATTAAAGCGGTTTAAAGGTCAAAATTCACAATAGGTTCGAAATATGTAATAAATCAGATAATTAGGCCAATTATTAATAGTTGAGCGATCGTGCTAAAACCACGGAACTCGGGAGTGCCTCACACCTTCTCCTTGGTTAACAGAATTCCTTAACCGGTCTTCTATGTTCGCGGACCACAAATAAGAGTCAATTTCCTCTATTTGGGATTTAAAATAAACACGGTGACTTAGGACACCCTAAATTATTCCAACTAGTGACTCTGAATTAAATAAATAATCACATTTCGATTAATGTCACTTTAATTGGAAAAACTCCCCTATCCCCTCGGGAAAAGGAGGTGTGACAAGATAAACCGTTAACCCGTTAAGAATTCTTATATTTATACATTTACCCCTATGTATATAAAGTAATATTTTGAAGCCCTAAATCCCTAATTTATCAAATCTCAATTCATGCCGCAGTAGTCAGTAAATTCTAGGAAGATATTGCTCAGATGGACTTTGGTTTTGCTATATCCATCAATTTCTTCTTTATTATGTGGTTCATTAGAAAATTAAAAAGGAAAAAGTACAACTTTTAAAGAATCCCTTTGGACTGGTGATAATTTAGAGTGGACATATTTAACCACAATCTTGAACTATATGATCAACTGAAGATGTTGATCATCATCGCCATCTAACAGGAAAAACAGATCTATATTTTACAAAAATTGTCTATTGAGATTGAGAAGCCTATATCTTTCTCTGTACATGAAATTGTTACTAGCAGCATTGCTAAAACCAATTGGATTATATAAATGCTTGACTAGAGAGATGCGAGCACCAAGCAGATGTAATGCTTTACTCCAATTTTTTCCTCATCTCTAATTCTAAAATTTTGTTTTATTGTCTATTTAATTTAGCCAAAAAACCGCCTGATAATTGCTAATCCGATACCAATACGCCTGATAGCTTATTGGATGGCTAGCGGATTGTTACTTTTATAAGCCGATGACTGATAACCCAAACCGTTAACGTGAATGTTAGATTTGTGAGGAAGAAGATTGAGAAATGTAGAAGAAGAGAAATCGAAATTGTATTTCTTAGTCGGTTAAGCATTCGTTCATTACAATGCTATATAGAGCTTCACCACTAACTAAATGACAACTCTTGTACAGTTGTCAACTAACCACTTTAACTAACCACCTTATAACTAACTCTAAACATACCCTATACTTTTACTATGTACACTTAGACCCTATATCCCAAGACTCTCCCTCAAGCTAGAGGGTAGAAAATATTGAACACTCCGAGCTTGGAAAGAAGGAAGGAGTGCTGAGCAACACCAAGACCTTTTGTCATAAGATCAGCCAACTGAAGCTTGGTTGAAATGTGATAAGGAGCGAGCAAACCATTCTTAATCTTCTCTCGAAAAAAATGACAATCTATCTCGATGTGCTTTGTCCTCTCATGAAAAATGGGATTTGCTGCTATTTGAAGAGCAGCTTTGCTATCACAATATAGATCAACAGGGTGATGTATCTCATTGTTCGACTCTTGCAACAATCCAACTAGCCAAGTAACCTCAGTTGCTACTGCTGCGAGGCTTCTATATTCAGCTTCAGCTGAGCTTCGACTCACTGTCTGCTGCTTCTTGGACTTCCAGGACAATAAGGTATCCCCTAGCTTGACAACATATCCAGTGATCGACCTTCGTGTGTTTGGGCATGCTGCCCAATCTGAATCACAAAAGGCAGAAAGCTGAGTAATAGGGTCCTTTTTTAGAAAGACACCAAGACCAGGTGAACCTTAAATGTACCTAACCACTCTAAGTGCAGCAGTTAAGTATGACTGCTTGGGATGCTGCATGAACTGACTCAAAACTTGCACGGCACAGCAAATGGCAGGTCGTGTAATGGTCAAGTAGAGTAACTGACCCACCGGCCTTTGATAACTACCCACATCTTGCAGCTCTTCATCACCATTGTGCCTTACATGTTTGTCATACTCTGTGGTGGTGAGTTTCTGATTAAGTTCAATAGGAGTGGATGCAGGTTTAGCAACGGCTAGTCCTGTGGTGGATATTAACTCCATTGCATATTTTCTCTGGTTTAATATCATCCCCTTATATGACTCAACACTTCAATGCCTAAGAAATATCTTAGCTCACCCAAATCTTTGACCTTAAAACTGTTATGTAATGTACTCTTGGCCTCTTCCACAAGGGAAACATTGCTACCAGTGATCAAGAGATCATCAACATACACCAATATAATCACAATGTCATGTGTTATCTTCTTAGTGAATGGAGAATGATCATATGCACTCTGCTAATATCCTGCTCTCACTAAGGTATTTGTGAGCTTAATGTTCCACTGTCTTGAAGCATGTTTCAAGCCATAGAGTGATTTTAATAGTCTGCAAGCTTTATTCTCCCCCTGTCGTTGGAAACCCTGTGGCAAGATCATGTATACTTCTTTATAAAGATCCCCTTGCAAGAATGCATTATTGACATCCATCTGATAGAGGATCCATCCCTTTGAGGCTGCTATATTAAGAACAATTCTCACAGTTACCATTTTGGCAACTGGTAAGAATGACTCGTGATAGTCCAACCCTTCTTGTTGGGTGTATCCCTTTGCTACTAGTCGTGCCTTAAATCTTTCAAGCTCTCCCGTTGGTTTATATTTGATCTTAAACACCCATTTAGAACCAATTGGTTTCTTCCCTTCTGGCAAGTTGACCACTTCCCAGATATGGTTCTCTTCAAGTGCTTTAATCTGTGTTCCATAGATTCTATCCATCTTGGATCATGTGCAGCTTCCTTAAAGGACCATGGTTCAGTTAAAATTGAAAAAACATTGAGATACGACTGATATGCAGGGGATAGATGATCAAAAGAGATAGCATTAGAGATGGAATAGACAGTGTTAGTATGTGTCTTAGCAGTGGTGATGTAACATTTAAGCCAAACAGAGGGCCTTCCTTGTCGACTAGATTTCCTAGTCTCTACTTCTATAGATGTTGGTTGTGAATGCACTTCTTCTATTCATGCTTCTTCTATTGTTGTCTCAACTTCTGGTTCAAGGATAGCAGGAATGGGATTCTCACTTATTGGGGCAGCAGCTGGTGTCTCATGTTCTTCACCAGACTCTTTATAATCTATGAATGTGTCCACACTAGCATTCTCCACTTCTATAGTGGTGTGTTTAGCAACTGGCAACCGGATGTTCTAGGTTGTAGTTGGAATCACAGGTGCATGTGGTTTATGTCTATCTACTTCTACAACTGAAGGTTGAGAAGTGAATAGATCCCCTGTACAGTCTGAATCAGTAGTTCTTTCAAAAGGAAAGACCTGCTCTTTAAATACCACATCTCTGCTAACAAATACATTTCTATTCTCTAGATCATACAGCCTATAACCCTTTTGTGCTTCTGAGTATCCAATAAGAACAGCCCTTTTTGCTCTAACTGTGAACTTATCACATTTAGGCAGGTTACTAGCATAACATAAGAAATCAAACACCCTCAAGTGATCTATTTTGGTTGGCTTTCCATACAATAACTCATAAGGCATTTTCCTTGCAAAATACTAGCGGGCAGTTTGATTATCAAGTATACTGCAGTTCTTACACAATCACCCCAGAACCTCCTGGGAATCAAGCTTTGAAATTTCAAGGCTCTTCCAACCTCCCGTATATGCCTATGTTTTCGTTCAACCATCCCATTTTGTTGTGGGATGTATGGACAACTACTTTGGTGTATGATTCCTAGAGAAGCAAACAAAGCATTGCATTGAGAGTTGAAGAACTCAGTACCATTATTTGATCTAACAATCTTCACAGTAGCTTCAAACTGAGTTTTTATCATTGCAAGAAAGTTCTTTATTACAACAACTACTTCACATTAAGAGTGTATTAAGCACACCCAAGTAAACCTACTGTAGTCATCTATTATTGTAACAAAATAAAGCTTCCTATCATATGTAGGTACCTTATGAGGTCCCCAAACATCCATGTGTATGAGCTAAAAATAACTACTTGACCTGGTGCTACTAAGTGAAAACTGTAATCGACACTACCTTGCCAAAGGGCACACTTCACAGTTGTCCTGCTGTCTAGCTTGTATCTTATTCTTTAGTTCTGAAATATGCTACATAGATTTTGTTGATGCATGACCTAGCCTCAAATGCCACAGTGTTGTTTCTCCATGTTCCTTCAAAAAACTAATTGCTGATGTTGGCAAATTTTCCTTCATCAAATATAATCCATTGTTTTCTTTACCAATTTCCATCACCTTGCCATTGTAGAGCCCCTGAAATATACAGAAATTAGGATAAAAACCAACTGAGCAACATAATTGTCTAGTGATTTTTGACACTGACAATAAGTTGAATTTAAAATCTGGCACATGCAGAACCCCCTTAATAGTTTTATTCCCTAAAACTACTGCATCTCTTGTATGTGTGATTTCTGCTCTACTGCCTGTATGTAGCTATACTCCATCTGTTCTATGATCTTCTTTTCTAAGATTATCTAGAGCATTCTTACAATGTGCCACATGATGAGTAGCACCTGAATCCACTATCCAAACATGATCATTAGCAGTTGTATTTGTCATTAAAGTGATAATACCTGCAGTATTAGTGGAACAGTTATTTGTGGTAGTCTTCTGCAACAAATTCACCAGTTGTTTGTATTGATCCTCAGTGAAGAAATTTCCTTGTGTTGGCATGCAGCTCAGGTGCTTGTTTCTCCTCACTTGTTGCATTGTTCACATAGGTCCTGCCTCTTGAGTTTTGCCCTTTCTTCTTGCTTTTGAAATCTGGTGGATACCCCACTAACTTGTAACAATTTTCTCTTAGGTGTCCTTTGTAACCACAATAATCACAGATTAATTCTGGCCTCTTAGGTTTAAACTCGTGACCTTTACCTGCCAACATTATGAGAGGATCCTTCAATGTGTTTGTGACTCCTAGGGCTCTTTGACTTTGTTCTTGTGTAACTATTGCATAAGCTTCATTCACTGTGATCACAGGTCTTTTGGCCAAGACATTACTTCGAATATTACCATAACTCTCGTTCAATCCCATGAGGAACTGTAATAGGGGAATGTTTTTCAAAAGCTCCACTGAAGGCCTGGACTCTTCACAGCCACATGAAGCCATAGGTGCTATGACATCTAGTTCATCCTATAGATCCTGCATTTTCGAAAAATAGCTAGTGACCGAGTCTATTCCTTGTCTCAAAGTCGCAATAGCAGTCCAAAGATGGTAGATCCTTGTCAGATTTGACCTATCAAATCTCTCCTGGAAATCAGCCCATACCTTCTTTGCATTCGATGTATATACGATGCTAGGCATTAATTCATTCGAAACAGTACTACAAATCCACGATAGAACAATTAAGTTACATTTCTCTCATTGCTCTGTTAATTCACCTCTATACATGCTTTTTACACAAGATCCATCCACAAATCCAAGCTTGCTCTTTTCCCAGAGTGCCAATTTCATCGCCCTGCTTCACAGTGCGTAATTTTCTGGACCTGTGAGCTTGAGCGGAATTAAGACGAGTCTTGGAGCATCTGAAGCTTGCAAAAATAGCGTATGATTATGATCGAGTGAGCTGACTTCGTTGTCTGCCATGGCTGCTTGAAATTGAGCTCGAAATTGAAGAATTTCTCAGCTCTGTACTTCGCCTCTGGATTTTGCCGGAAAATAGATCGGAATTACAGTCCCAGCAATTCCCGCACTGATACCATGTTAGATTGTGAGGAAGAAGATTGAGAAATGGAGAAGAAGAGAAATCGAAATTATATTGCTTCAGGCAGTTAATCATTCGTTCATTACAATGTTATATAGAGCTTCACCACTAACCAAATGACAGCTCTTGTACAGCTATCAACTAACCACTTTAACTAACCACCTTATAACTAACTCTAAACATACCCTATACTTTTACTGTGTACACTTTGACCCTATATCCCAAGAGTAAATATCCATCCGATCAGTCTGATAAGCACCCCTACTAATTTATAATAATAAGGGTTGTAGTGGAGTGGTAAATTTTCCTTAGTCGTTAACTAGAAGTCTCGAGTTTGAGATCTGAGTATAAAGTTATCTTTGTTAGGGAACTTTTTATCTCAGGTGTGGAATTTTTCTAGTACAAAATCAAATTTAATCAGATCCCAATATGAATATCAGACGCCAAATGACAAAAAAATTGTGGAACTTTGCGTCAAGTAATATAACTCTTAGGATCATTGAAGTCTGATTAGAGTCCCATTAATAATTTAATTTTCCACCTCCCCACTTCTTACTTTATTTCCTTGGTTTCTTTCTTAATGGACATCGCAAATCTTGGATGTTTGAGGTCCCTCATGAGGGTAATTTTATCATATTTCAGATTTAACATGACGCAATTATTTTTTATAATTTAATGCGATACGAAGCTACTCATTGTTACTTTTTAATTATTTGACACACATGAAGTCACTTTCTTTAGTTTCTTGTTTTATAAAATCGAAACAGCAAGAAGAAGGTGGAAATTTTATTGCTTTTCAAAAACATGACGAACCAAAAGAGATAATCATTATCTAGGGATTAACTTAAATAGACAAATAATGTAATTAAAAAAAAACACAAAGAACTTAATAATATTTGTAACATATTACATGTCTTATTTTTAGGTTATTAATTTCATTCATTTATAAATAATATTGAAGTTATTTTTTATTAGATTTGATAGAATAAAAAAAAATTTGCATTATCATCTGTATAGAGTGTAGAAGTTCAACTCTTAACCAAGACTATATATGTCACTTGTGAGTGTTTTTGTTAAAAAATCTAAAGCTTGGAAATGGAAACGTGTCAACGTAATGAACCAAGTATTTTATAGTTCCTTCTAATTATAGCCAAGAAATCTGCGATGTGTCATGCATCATTAACCGAAGGAGTATATCATAACTTCTGAGAATATAATTGTGGCTTTCCCATTATTAAATGAATCAATTATAACTAATCATGCTACGTTATCCTTTAATTTGATGTACAGTTACTTAATGTTATTTGGTTGAGTTGTTATTATAATTCAAAA